GGAATCACATTTTTTCCCATTTTTCTGCACAGTATAAGAGGTGTTCATGTATTTAAAGGGAAAGGTCACCCAAAAATGAAATAATTTTCATAATTTTCTCTTTCATTCAACAAACCTGAATGACTTTTTTCTGTTGAGAAACTCAACACATTTTCCCATACAATGAAAGCAAATACACCATAGTAGTTCGTATGAATTGTATTCCAGGTCTTCTGAAGCCATATGTTAGCTTTTTGTGAACAGACCAAAAAATAAAAATCAATTTAAGAATTGGCTGTCTTTCATTTCATGAGTGGAATATGAATAATATTGTCGATATTATTTAGATTTGAATCTAAATGACAAGAAAAGGAGAAGGAGATCAGCAAGAGGATATCAGAATTGACTGTATTACAATTCAAAGAAATTTAACACAAGTAATGCATTCTGTGAACTGAAGTGTTCTTGTTATCTATCCGTCCATTGTTCTATCTATCTATCTATCTATCTATCTATCTATCTATCTATCTATCTATCTATCTATCTATCTATCTATCTATCTATCTATCTATCTATCTATCGTTCTATCGTGCTATCGTGCTATCGTTCTGACTTTTGTTCATTCTATCGTTCATTCTGTCTATTTATCTATCGGTCTATCTATAATTCTGTCTATTAATCTATCGGTCTATCTGTCTATTAATCTATCTATCGGTCTATCTGTATATTAATCTATCAATTGGTATATCCGTCTATTAATCTATCTATCGGTCCATCTGTCTATTAATCTATCTGTCGGTCTCTCTATCATTGTTATTGTGTCTTTCTATCATTCTAATCTTCTATCGTTGTCTATCAACAGAATCGCGGAATCCATTCATAAAAATTATATTTACTGTATAACACGGAATTTCATATACAAACTTAAAAGTCTTCACACCAACCTGTCAAAATAAAAATTCTGTTTAACTTGAAGAAACTGTGACAGAAATATATCACTTAATGCAATGATAGTACAATGATAGTGCTACTACTACTAATAAAATTATTATTAAAAGATTGTTTTTTAGAAATATTTACCAGAAAAATAATTTACCATAATTTATTTACCAGAAAAATGTAAATACACAACACAGCATTTCTAAAAAAGAGAAACAAATTAAATAATAATATTTTTTTAAATATAAAATCAATTAACTAATGCTTTTGATTATTAAAATTTTATGAAACCATTAAAATGGAATCCAGAAAATAAATGGAAAACACACTTTTTCAAAACTTTCAAACAAGACATTTTCATTCCAACATTCGAAGTTTGCCTTGATAAACTTTGCTTTTCTAGATAGAAATTACAATGATATATAATTTTATGCAAAAGGTGATGCCACAAACCCCCAGAACTAAAGGATTGTTTTGATGGAATGATTGAAATGGCTTCATAAGATTGCCAAGGTGATTATTGAATGCTGTGGTGATATATTAAGTTCTAACTGTTGAACAATAAAAAAATTACAAGAATATGAATTTCTTTGAATGCAATTTAATTTTACTTCCTTGTATTCAAATTCAAGCTGCAGTTGTGCATCCTTTGTGCTACCTCGGTTCAGGGTTGAATAGGAATTTAAAAGGCATTATCAATTCACTTCTGGATGGCACATAACCCTGACTCATATTTGAACATGGCCTGCCAGTCAGTAATATCATTGGCGTCAAGACTGGTGGAACATGCTTTCATGTGCTTAGATTTGAAAACTGCTGTGGACTTTCCCTTTAAAATGATAAATTGCTTCTACTTCACCTAACACCACCTTTAAAAGGCCATCTTTGATGTTTTGTCTCCTGTAATATGCTTTGCTCAGTTCTTACACGATTCGTGATTCTTACACACTTTAATGGAAGCTCAGTGTGATGGAACGCCAATGAAGTGTTGAAGAATTTCATTCAATCTGCTTTTTATGGGGTCACAAAAGCAGTGCATTTGAATATCACTGATGGATGGAGTTTTGGCAAGGTACGGTTGACAGACGCTGGCATTTTATACCTGGCACCGTGACGCGTGAGCAGCCTGTTTTCTCAGGGGTGAGTCCACGAATCCCAACCGCTCCGCTGGTGCCTCAGAGGCTCCAGACCGCTCTCTCCAGTTAACTTGTTTTCCAGGAATCCAGCTGCTCACCTCTCACTCCACAACTGCACCGCTGGCCACGTCCATATGACAGGAAGCATACCAGAACCGATCTTAGTCTGAGGGACTCTCGAGTCTCGAAACAGGAGTCATTTCCACATGGGCCTCTCGAAATAAATCGATACCAGGCTTTAAACAAAAAGTCGAATTTCTTTCCTGAAAGAACTGGGGGGAGACAAGTGTGGTATTTATTTTTTTTGGAAGTAATCCCCCTTTTCAAACCAACAGAGAATCCAGAATCTCAAAAGAGAGACTAAGCTTCTTTAATCCTTTGTCATGGCCAATAGCCACTGCTCTTCTGAAGGACTCATATAAAAGCTGCAGAAATATGAATGTAATGGAGAGAAGCTGCTAGGAATTGTGGGTGGGGGTGAAGGCATGCAGGCTTCTCTGAAGTTCTGTCAAATGTGTCCACACAGTAAGTCTGTTCTGTGAATATAAGGAACGCTTTGCTCATGATACTTGGGTTGGGTTGACATTTTATTCTGCGGTTAGTCAGTCAACCCCCCATTGGATTCCCTCACCTCAAAACAATGACCAAATGTGACTGTTGCTGTAGGACATCTTTGTAACATTGTGCCCTCTGTTTCTTTGGGCTGAATATGTCATGACTCCTACACCTACTTGACTTGAAGCATTAATTCAGTCCCTTACAAAGAAGTACTATGACATTGCCATGGTTGGGTTGTTATGATAATACCATGGTTACCATTTAATTTTTTTGGTCTCTTTGGTACTTTGAAGTACATTGGAATAACCTCTAAATGATATAGTATACGAGTATGGTAATCAGAGAATACCAAAGTGTTAGGACTTGGTCACAATCACCAACTTGTTGATTACTGAGTTTTTTTTAAATGGACATAATTCATATAAAATATTATTATTATTATTATTAAAATATAATTGATGTTTTCAAAAGAAGTTTCTTATGCTCACCAGTAAAACAGTAATATTATGAAGTATTACAGTTTAAAAGACTACTTAAAGCTTTTTATATCAACATGAAACCCTTTTTTGTTTTGTTCTGTTCTGTTCTGTTATTTTATTTTATTAGATAAAATTTTGATTTTGACTTCCATAACAACAATAATATTTTTTGTTCACAAGACTACTGTATTTTGTTTTGTTTTGATGTTGTTTTGGTTTTTGTTTGTTTTGATTTTGTGTTTTTGTTTTTGTTTGTTTAGATTTTTTGGTTCGGTTTAGTTTTTGTTTGTTTTTTGTTTGGTTTAGTTTTTGTTTTGTTTTAAATTTATCATATTCAGTTATTTTCAGCAGGTTTCAGTGTCACATGATCCTTCAGAAATGCTGTTTTGCTCAAGAAATATTTCTTATGATCAATGTTGAAAACAGTTGCTGCTTAAAATTGTATCAAATTATTGCAGAAAAAAAGCAAAACAAAAACAACTTACCCCTAACTTATAAATGGTAGTGTATGCACATTAGGGTTGTGACGGTGAGGAAATTTTCCCACCGATTAATCGACGTGTGACAACACCGATAATACTGGTATCACCGTGGGGGCAGGGGCTTTCCTCTTTTCCTCGCTTTTAAATAGCTTGCAAAAGCGGCGTGCGCATTTTAATTTCACTTTCAAATAGCGGCAATTCGGCGTAAAGCAATTGTTCATTTTTAGTTTGTTTGAATTTCGAATTAGTGGCAGTTCGGCGTCAATTGCTTGAATGCAACAACAAAATACAACGTCAAATTTACTTGAGCCTATGTACTGTATAAAACATAGAACTTTTATTAACAAAACAAATAAAAATACACCATGCTATAGGGCAGGCTATGCCTAATATAAAATAACAAATAACTTGCATAAAGTTTAAATAGGTATACAAAACTGGAAATAGGCTAAGTAAACATGTATAATATACCAAATAAATAAGAAACGTAGAACGTTTATTAGCAAAATGAGTAAGAAAGCTTGGAGGCACGGCATACACCTTGATGTAAAAAATAAATAAATGACACAAAGTTTAAATAAAGTAAAAATCAGCAAACAATGTGGAACCAATTAAATAAGAAACGAATGTTAAAAAAACTTCCAAAATCACCTTAGATCACTGTTACTCATTGCGCGGCTCGCGAGCGTCATGCGGCTGGACAAGCTTTACTTTGTGGCTCACATGGCAGTAAATAATATGATGATATGATCATGCAGTCAATACAGATATTTCATAAAAACATTAAAAACAAGCAGGGCTTGACATAACCCATTAAAAAAACTCACACCATGTCTACACCGGACACGAGTGGCGCAATCCGACAAAAGACAATAGAACCCAGTGATGTTGTCTACCCTGGATGCGGCACGGCGCCATGCGATGCGACACGATCCCCATCAGTAAACTGATGCCTTGTTCTATTTATGACGAACTGTACTGACACTACGTTCAAATGATTTGCAACTGTCGCGTCAAGTGTAGACAGACTTTTAGCGCAACTGTCATGCGGTGTAGACACGGTCAGACAGTGTCTGCTCTATTACAAATAATTTATATATATATTTTTAAAAATACCTAAAACAGCGCCATTACAAGATGGAAATATAGACTAGAAAAGATATTTACACTTGCTCTGTCCTACGTCCATGACACTGACTCACTGCGGAGTTGCCAGTTTTAATCTTAACAGCTCTTAACGCCGAATGTGCACTTGGATGGTTAGATACATGATGGGCTAGTATAAAAAATTTAAATAGCTTAAGGGCTTTCCAATATTTCATAAAAACATTAAAAACAAGCAGGGCTTGACATAACCCATTAAAAAAACTCGCACCATGTCTACACCGGACACGAGTGGCGCAATCCGACAAAAGACAATAGAACCCAGTGATGTTGTCTACCCTGGATGCGGCGCGGCGCCATGCGATGCGACACGATCCCCATCAGTAAACTGATGCCTTGTTCTATTTATGACGAACTGTACTGACACTACGTTCAAATGATTTGCAACTGTCGCGTCAAGTGTAGACAGACTTTTAGCGCAACTGTCATGCGGTGTAGACACGGTCAGACAGTGTCTGCTCTATTACAAATAATTTATATATATATTTTTAAAAATACCTAAAACAGCGCCATTACAAGATGGAAATATAGACTAGAAAAGATATTTACACTTGCTCTGTCCTACGTCCATGACACTGACTCACTGCGGAGTTGCCAGTTTTAATCTTAACAGCTCTTAACGCCGAATGTGCACTTGGATGGTTAGATACATGATGGGCTAGTATAAAAAATTTAAATAGCTTAAGGGCTTTCCAGCATTAAGGTAGTCCTGCTTTTTTTTTTAAATAATCTTGTCTCAGTTACAAATTTGACTGGTAAATGATAAAGAATGATATCCCCTTTTGTATTGCATTGCATTGCATATGACAGATTGATATAAAGACATGCTATTTATGACTGGATGTAACTTTTGATACTTCGCGGTAAAAGTGGCTCTCCAATTGACTTTGCCCTATCAGTGCGGCTCCCATGAAAAAAATAGTGAAGACCACTGCTCTACAGTCTTATCCAGCATGCCACCTCTGTATGGCCTAAACCTTCTAATACCCAGCTTGACACACATGCTATGTGTGTGTGTGTTGACGATAATGATGTTTTCTAAAGCAGGATAGCGTGTGTGTGTGTGTGTGTGTGGATAATAGCAGCATTTGTGTGTTTGTTGATGATAATGATACATTCTAGACAGCTTAGCCTTGTTTGTTTCTTCCGGTGTAACAGAAATCGTCACTACACGTCTCTCGCTGCCAAGACTCATCAAACACAGCCGCCAGCATCTGCTCCCTGCAAAGTCATCACTTATGAGACTTTAACCGTCACAGGGCCAAATATGCTACATAGGGCATTTGCATAGCACCCTACTAAGAAAACGACTGCAGAGAGAAGCATATATACCAACTCATCTGAGCACTCAGAGAGGCAGAAGATAATAAAATGCTAATGCTTAAAGGGATGGTTCACCCAAAAATGAAAATTCCTGATCTGTGATGCAACTGTCGTTCGGCTCGCTGCATTGAGCAGCCGCGTTCAGTTTTTAATTGTAGTGTCTGTTCTTTTACTGAACTAAATGAAGACTTTTGAAAAAGAGATAAAAAAGTATGTGATGACAGTTGTTGGACCACTCTTAGATCCGTTACAGTTTGCATATCGCGCTGGAAGAGGCGTAGTGGATGCAAAACTGTTTTTGTTGAATGCTGTCAGTCGACATCTGGAAAATAGTGGAACCTTTGCGCGGCTTTTGTTTGTGGACTTTTCGTCTGCATTTAATTTTTTGCAACCTATTATTTTAGGGCTAAAATGTATAAGTCAGTTTAATTTTAATCTTGGATTAGTTTTATGGATTATGAATTTTTTAACAGATAGGAAACAAAGGGTTAGAGTTAATGGGGTCTTATCGGAAATGTTAAATATTTCTATAGGTTCACCACAAGGCTGTGTACTTTCTCCTGTTCTATTCATATTGTATACAAATGATTGTCAGAGCTTGTACAATAATAGTTATTTGGTAAAATATGCAGACGATACTGTGCTTCTGTCTTTGCTGTCATATCCAGATCAGGAATATGGTCCAGTTTTGGATGATTTTATTTTATGGTGTAATAAAATGAAATTAGATTTGAATGTGTCAAAAACTAAAGAGATGATCATCAATTTTAGTAAGAAAACACTTGCACCTCAAAGAGTGGTCATAAATGACACACAGGTTCATGTAGTGGAGGAATACAAGTATTTAGGAACGATTATTAATTATAGGCTGAAGTTTGATCAAAACACAGATGCAATCATTAAAAAGTCAAATAGAAGATTGTTTGTGCTGAGGAAGCTAAATTATTTTAATGTACAGAGAGTCATTCTCAGGACTTTTTATAATTAATTTTTATTTTGTTGTTTTCATCTCATTTTGCTTTGGCTTGGATTGTTTTATGAGTCCCAACATACATATTTCCTAGTGAAACCCAATATTCAGTAAGAAAAATGGCTGAACTAAATTTTTTACATATTTTACACTTAAGGGCATTACATTATGGAAGTAAAATGACATCCAAAGCTTAGTCCACTAGTGCTATATCATAATGCAAGCTTCTTTTTATTTAATTTCATTCAACGTCATATGTCTAAATAGCTGTTTGGTTATTGATTATTTATATATATTTTTTGTTATTGGTTAACATTATTTTCCCCACCCACATGGCCTAGGTGATGTCAGCTGGTGAGGCAGAGCAAGTTATACGTTTACATTCAAATTTACATTTAGTAATTTATAGGGATGCACCGATATGAAAATTTTGGCCGATACCGATAACCGATTATTCTTTATTTTTGAAAGCCGATAACCGATATGTTGGCCGATAAATCTATATCCAAATTGTTATATACTTTTTGAGAGCCTGATTACAAAAAAGGTCTCTACCGATATGGTGGCCGATATATCGTGCATCCCTAGTAATTTAGCAAACGCTTTTATCCAAAGAGACTTACAAATAAAGACAATGGAAGCAATCAAAATCAACAAGAGAGCAGTGATATGCAAGTGCTATAACAGGTCTCAGTTAGCTTAATGCAGTACACATGGCATGTTTTTTTTATTATATAATAAATAAAAGAAAATAGATAGAATAGAAAAAGAATAGAGCAGGCTAGTGTTAGAGGCCTTTTTTGCTTTTGTTAATTGTATAATAAATAAAAAGAAAACAAATAGACAGAATACAAAAAGATGGGAGAAGCTAGTGTTTAAAAAAAAAAAAAAGAGAAAACAGACAGTTAGTAAATGAATAGAGTGCAAGTCTAAAAGGGGTCTAAAAGTTTTTTTTTATAGAATTGAATTAGAATAGAGAATGCTAGAGTTAGAGGGTCAAATAAAGATGAAAGGGATGTGTTTTTAGCTGATTCTTGAAGATGGCTATATGTTGATACATTTTATTTGGAATAACTTAAACAATAATTATGTAACGATCAGGAACATGTAGGGCTGGACAATAATTCAATATCAATATGTATCGCGATATAATGTTTTTTAATAATGGTGATATGATTTTTAAACACATTTCCGATATTTCGATATACATTACCAGTGTTTCCCATACATTGATTTATTTGTGGTGTTTGACTTCGTTGAATAAACATGAGCACTGCACGTTTCAAAATCATATTACTGTTCAAAAACTTTTGACTGGTATGTTAGCCTATAGTTTGAAGTAAAAAATAAAAATAATAATAACTCTTATCTTAAATAATAAGAGTCTGAGATTTATTTGACAGTGATTTCACATTTCCTGTTTGTATGAAGGCTAAATACCAATAAAAGGTGAACATTTATTTATTTGCGCCATTTTTTCCTAAAATATTATATAGTTTTATAGGAGTAGGTTTCATACAGTTGGCAAATTAATTTTTCATAAGTTTGTTGGTACAGACATCTGTTGTGGCCGTTCTTGGCCGTTTTTATGAGGCTTTTTTAATAGTGTTCATATCGATATCGGAATTGTATCGTATCGACCGAAATTAAGAAATATATCGTGATATAAATTTTGGCCATATCATCCAGCCCTAGGAACATGCATTAAGAAAGTATATAGGGTCTATTTTGATTTCATGTTTACTTGAATGGTGTTTGTGATCTTCAGCTGATCACAAGACAGTAGAAGACTCAATATTCCCCAAGCCCTGCTCAGAATCCCCAGAGGACCAATCTTCTCCCACTGTATCTGACGTAGTTGATTACAATGGATGTCTCTGTGTCTAGGGTTATGTACTCCACAGGGGAACATTCCTGCCCTTATTGGCTGTGCTTGCCCTGCTCTCAGTGGGGCTTTCATCTACAATATGTCTTCAGAATTGACTTGTTGTAAGAGAGAAGAGCTGTACTTCCCCAGAATCACTCCGGGTGTTCATGATTACCCATGTGCAGTGTCTTGCCCTACCCTGTTCAAACAGTATTTGGAAACTTTGAATCCTAATTGAGTCTCCTGGTGGTGTTTTCCCATTTGCACATGAAATACATTAGCATGTGCCTTGCTTTAGATTTGTGAGGCTCTAAACTGGAACTCGGAGCCCTCTGGTCATTTAGCATCTTGTGTTCATTCTGCCAGTATTTTTGTGTTTTACTTGCGTAAACATTGGTGTTGCTTGTTTGTAGGGATGTGCAAAATGAAATATTTTCTAAATCGACTAGCTTGTGGGTTGCCTGAAAAAACAAAGCCTCACTAATCAACCAGGTGGTTGGTGGTTGACTAGTTAGTTGCCCATCGTGACCCATCCCTAGTTGTTTCTGTATCAGCCATGTACAGTCGTGCTTTTCTATTTGAGATCTTATTTGATGACCTCACTGACTATTGACCTCTTCATTAGGCTGTAATGGGCTTGTGTCAAGCTTACTAATTACCCTTCTTACTAGCTGTACTTTTCACAGTCAGCACAGGTAAAGTTACTGTAAACCAATGTTTCACAATTTTTCACCATTTTGACATGGCAATACCATTTTTAACCAATAAAAAGAACTAAGAAAAGCCACTTGAATCCAAATGTTAAAAAAGGCCAGAAATATTACTAATATAGATTTAAAAATATATGTACAATGCGTATATATTACCCCAATTGTATTGTAAGATTGTCCCATGAAGTACATTTTGTAATGTATTTTGTAATTTGTAAGTATTAAAGGGGTCATATGATGCTGTTAAAAATAACATTATTTTGTGTATTTGGTGTAATGAAATGTTTATGCGGCTTAAAGTAAAAAGATGGCCTCACCATACTGTGATGCCGTGGCCGGCCGGAGCGACGAGACATACACATTAAAACCCATTACAAACGAGGCATTTGTTGCATCCAGCGGGGGAAAGTTGTCTTCCATTTGAAGAAATATATTTCCTTAAGATGTTCTGTTTACATCATATATTTTTAAGTTTTTAAATAGATTTTTGCTAGAAACAAAATCAGTTTTTTTCCATGTGTTGGAACTAAGAATAAACACTTGATTCCCTATGGTAAATAAATTAAAATATACAAAAATGAGCATCAATAATATATTGCTAATATAGATTAAATAAAAATTACAATTGCATGTTTATAACTGTAATTGTATACTAAGATTGGATTTTTTTTTTCTCCTTTGAACTACATTGTCATATATTTTGGGATTTTTATGCTTAAAGAAAATATATTTTGCATTTAAAAAAATATATCCTTCAGCTGAATTGTTTACATCATATATTTAAAATATAGTTTGGCCAGATGCTTTTTTTTGTTTGTTATTGTTTTAGTTTATATCAGGGGAAGGCAAAAACCTAGCATTTTAAATTTCATAATATTTGTGTTTGTGGTGTCGTGTTTGCCTGTAAATAATTCAGAGTTTTATCATTTAGTTTGTTTATTCTGTTAATAAAAATATCAGAAACAACCCTCCTCCCCCCAACTGGATCCAGTATGTATCCAGACCCGCAAATCCTCAATTCATTAGCACATGGATGCAATGTTTGTGAATGTAATTTGGAGAAAAGTGCGTGATTAGTCAAATTAATTGTGTTAATCGTATTTGTGTGTACATGCACACACGCGCACATCCATCACACTTGTTTCCCTCTCTCTCTCTCTCTCTCTCTCTCTCTCTCTCTCTCTCTCTCTCTCTCTCTCAGTTATTGCTATTAGATTTCAAATCTGCAAATCTGAAGGAAAAAATGGCTGCTGCTGCCTTTTTCCAAGAGCCTGGTTGCTAGGCAGCTCTCTCTCTCTCCCAGTGAGTTGGACTTTCTTGCTGGTGGAAGATGGTTTCTCCCTGCGGAGCATGTTAGAGTGAATTCAGATGAAGCGCACACCCCGCACACTTTTCTCTCTCTCTCTCTCTCTCTCTCTCTCTCTCTCTCTCTCTCTCTCTCTCTCTCTCTCTCAGTTATTGCTATTAGATTTCAAATCTGAAACTGAAAAGGAAAAAATGGCTGCTGCTGCCTTTTTCCAAGAGCCTGGTTGCTAGGCAGCTCTCTCTCTCTCCCAGTGAGTTGGACTTTCTTGCTGGTGGAAGATGGTTTCTCCCTGCGGAGCATGTTAGAGTGAATTCAGATGAAGATGCTGCTTGTGTGCCGTCAGCTTGGCCCAGTTTATCACCACGGAGAGATGTGTAAAGCAAGCTGCCAGCTTTATATCAATGTGAAAAGTTATGTCTGAATGACAAAGTCAATTTTAGAGGCATGAGATTGGTTAGGAAGTCAACAAATGTGTATTTTTAATTCTGAAGACATTCCGCCTGCAGTTTAATAAATATTTGATGTCTTAGAGAGGTTTATTGTCATTTTTACTGACAGGTTCAACTATGGGACAGACATAAACTATGTCAGGAGTGGCTGTGTTTCAAAACTCAGTGAGCTGCCTATTTAGACAGCATAGTGAACTCTTGTTGTCTAGTTTGCAGCTCGCAAGGTATTGAGACACAGCCTGTGCATGTTCTGCATCTAAAAACAGATGTTCTCTGTGTTATGCAATACACTAGCGGTGCAATTTCAGCTATGATCATAGTTTTCTCTGTCCGATTTTTGTTTATTTAAAGGGCGGAATGAATATGCCTCGGTTAGTCCTTATGGTCGTTGAATTGTGCAGAGATGAACAATCAGAGATATACAGTGGGTACGGAAAGTATTCAGACCCCCTTAAATTTTTCACGCTTTGTTATATTGCAGCCATTTGCTAAAATCATTTAAGTTCAGCCGTGAGAAAATAACAAGCCTTTGTGTTGCATGAATGAATGCAATATAGACCAACGGCAAGGCAAACAAAGATTTGTCTCCCTCCCCTCCCGCTTTGACCTGAATACAGTCACATAATTCAGATGTTAAAAGGAGGCATATTAAATAAATGTGTGTTTCTAGTTATCTCCTCATAGTGTTGTTGTTATTGACATTTATAAAAGGGGATAATCGTTTCATGAAAAATGGCTTGTTCCGGTGCCAGCTAATGCTAATAGATTCATATTAGAGTGAAATGCTGAGGTAAATAAAATGGTAAGCTAATGCAAAGTAACATGCAGTTTCATCTAATGGGCATTAATTGTGTGAAAAGCAGGTCTGTGTTGTTCTTATTATTCAGACGCGTCTTGTTAATCTTTTTGAAGATTGTGATTAGCCTTGTTGTTTTAGGCTGAACAGCAGTGACGGTTTGATCATTTAGTCTGCTACATATGCAATTGTCATTTAAAAAAATACAGCCTAATTAATTGGTAAAAAATGATTAGTTCCTATGCACTTAATAATATTAAGCAGTGTAGTTGTTGCTAAATAAAAATACAAAACTGTAAAAAATTTGTAATTTTCATTAAATTACTAATACAGCTAAAATAAAATATAAATATTAGCTGCAAAAATTTTAAAAAAGAAAAGAAAAGAAAAACATTGCCTTAGCAACTACTGAAATAAAATGAGTAAAATTACTAAAAGTAAAACTGAAATAAATATAAATTAGCTAACTAAATGGAAATAAAAAAATAACTAATAGAAATTTTAAAATGAAAACGGAAAATATAAAAATATTTTTATGGAAATGTATAGCAGATTTATATATAAAATAAACATGAATAAATAAGTAAACCCTAATAAATTAGTAAGCCCTCTAACAAATGTGAAAACACATAAGTTTGTTAAATTCTGACCTTAAGATAATATGTCATCTTTTTGCAAAACTCTTTCTAAAACTATTGCCAAATATTATTAATAAAGATCAAAATTGATTTATAATGGGAAGGCAGGGTTTCCATAATGTAAGAAGGGTATTGAACATGATTCATTCTAACAAAGAAATGTCTGATACAGCACTTCTATCATTAGATGCCGAAAAGGCCTTCGATAGGGCCAAATGGCACTATCTTTTCAATGTTTTAGAAAGATTTGGAATTGGAAATAATTTCATAAAATGGGTTAAGGCAATATGCAAAAATATACCTTAACCCATTTCAAAGCCAATAAAAATTTGTAAAGGATGCTGACAAGGTTGCTCACTCTCTCCTTTGTTGTTCAGACTAGCAATTGAACCTCTCACAATTGGAGTACATTCACATTAGCAATTCTGTGGGCTTCTTTTTCTGTTGGGCTTATACCCAGAGAAACAAAATTATAGTAGAAGTGAGTGAGCATTTATTGACCTCAGCTTGCTTTATGCCAAAAAATGTGTCGCTTTGTTTTGGACAAAGATTCACAGACCGCGTACAGCTCAATAGGGTTGGGTATCGTTTTTTTTTTTCTCTCGATAATTTTAAAATGGTTCCGGTGCCTGAATCGATACTTTTTAAAAAATAAATAAAAATTCCCCCCAAAAATGATGGATTGTCCATTAGCACTATAAACACATGATGTTGGTTCCATTCATACTGGACACCAGAGGGCGCCCTCGCACAGAAAATCCACATATCCAGTCACAGAAGTAGAGAACTCCTGACCCTCCAGGAAATCCCTTATATGGATAAATGCATTGCTATTATAGCTGTAACTGAGTAAATAGAACATATATACAGTTTATCTGTGTTATTTAAGCCATCTCTGGTATTTTCATAATAATTAAGTATATTTATAATAGGGTGACCAGTATACGTAGCAAGTTTTTTTTTTCTTTTTCGGTGCTTATTTTGTTTTTATAATAAATAAAAAGAAAACAAGTAGAAAGAATAGAAAAAGAATAGGGAATGCTACTGTTAGAAGGTCATTTTTAAATATAAATAAAACAATTCAATAGAACAGAAAAATAACAGATAATGCTAGTGTTAGAGGCTCTTATTTCTTTATAAATAAAACAAGTAGTTAGAATAGAAATAGAATAGAGAGTGCAAATGTTAGAGGGTAAAGTTTTTTAAATAAAAATTAACAAGCAGATAAAATTAGAAGTAGCATTAGAATAGAGAGTGCTGGAGTTAGAGGGTCAAATGAAAATGAAAGAGATATGTTTTCATCCGTTTCTTGAAAATATTAAGGACTCAGCTGCTTGGATTGAGTTGGGCAGGTCATTCCACCAGGAGGGAACAGTTAATGTAGAAGTCCATGAAAGTTTTATCATGGGTAGAATGCAAAATGTATCAATACAACCATTTCAGTCAAATGTAATTTATGCAATATTTCAAACCTTTAACCCACTTGGGAAAATCAACCCATGGCAACAGTTTAAAAGTAGCCCAATTCTGTGGAAAAAACGCAGACTTGGCAACCCTGCATCCAACAAGAGCTACTGGAGTCAGCTTTGACTGATCACAAGTCGAGAATAAGGAGAGATGACTGACAAGACCATGCTGGAGTATTTGCTGCTCAACAGATCCTGAGCTCATTGACAAATATCACACCGCTACTTAGTCATTCTTTTGACAGCTCTTGTGCTGGTGTTGTGGAGTAAAAAGGTTATAATGTTCTCTTTTGTTGGACAATAGGTTTAGAAATGTGAATACAAGGGAGGTTTAGCTTTAGGCATTTTAATTTAAGCATGTTTAGCTTAGTTAACGGAAGGCTACCTGCTGCCATCAGAGCAAGTGTAATTACTGCATTCACGCTGCGTACTCCTCGGATGCTCTCATTTCCAGAGTTGTGCTTTTAAGTCGGAATGCGAAAACAACATGGACACTCTCGTTACTACAAAGATGTGTTTGCTTTTTATTATTAGAGCTTTCCGACTTGAGTTCACGTGCATTTTCTCAGTCGGGAAATTATTTTTCACATGCGGTGCCAGTGATGATGCTTCTTACGTCCGTTTCGGAGAACCAGAGGACAAATATTTCAATCGATCGCTCGGGCATGGCACCGAAATGAGGCACCGACATCTGCGTTCTGATTCGGTTCTAGTACATACCAGTTACATAGGTACCGGTGCCATATTGGTACCGGGTTTCGGTACCCAACCCTACAACTCAATGGATAAGACAGATGTTGTCGGGCCTTCCATTAGAAAATATAGCTTCCATATTATTATTCCATATTTGAAAACTTATGGAGCCCTTTCATTAATTATATTAAGGATTTGAATTTAACAGATGAAGAAGTGGATGACTAATCTTTGTGGACAATACGGTTCTGACCTTGTAGGGTCAGTTGCATAAACTTAGCCTCTGTGTTAAGACTGTGTCTTAAGAACTAGTCTGACCAACTAGCGGTTAGCCAAGCGGTAATCAGTCTTATTTTTTGGATTCAACATAGACTAATCTACGCTTTTATGTAACAGAATTAAATACGTATGACCAGTCTTAAAGGAAAAAAAAATATCGATGACTAATTTGTAAGACTAGTCTAAACCTTTTATTCAACCGGCCCATAGAATTGATAAATTCTTCATCATATACTTGTTTCATTTTGCATTCATTATGTTTTTTAATTTTTTTATTGGTTTAGTTTTTTTAATAAAAAAAAATTGTTTAATTTTTTCTTTTGTTTTATCTTTCTAGAGTAAATACAACAATCTTATTGTTGTAAGGTATTTGGAGTGGACGAATGTATATGAATGTAAAAGGCTGTATTTCAAAATGTTTAAATGTGAAATTAAAAATATTGTGGAAAAAAATAATGCTAGATAGATAATTCATATTAGTGGAATGCTGAGGTAAATAAAACCGCATTGCTAAATGTATAAAGTTTTAGCAGTTAAAGATGTGGTAGAATGAATTGATTTAGTTTTATGTTTTTGTCTGTAAAATATTGACAGTTTGATCCAATAATTAGTACGTAGGTGCAACAGACTAGGGATGTAACGGTATGAAAATTTCATATCACGATTATAGTGACCAAAGTTATCACGATTATCAATATTATCATGGTTTTGTTCAAATTAGATGAAAACGTTCAAAAAGAACTGATACACACACTGAAAACATTTCAATAAGTTATATATTTGAAAATCAACAAACAACTAATACAATTAGCAGCTATATGCACTTTTTTTTAGCATAAACATTAAATTAACATTAACATGAAGCCCTAATAATAATAATAATAATAATAAATCACTTGAAGATCATGTGATCTTCGGTTAGGCGATCTTGTGATGCGTTTTAAAGCAAAGTTGGGGTTGATTTCGAGTTCACATACAAACATAAATAGAATAGGCTAATTACATTTTTCAATTTTAATGTAAGACAACATATTTTTCGTCAGTGATAGAAATATGATTTAAGACGGTAGTGTAAGCAAGTTTAGTTTGAAAACGTTTAATAGTAAATAAGACACAATTAGACAATATTTGAATAAAATAATAATAATAATAATAATAAGAAGAAGAAATATTTATTTGCAACAACTGATGGAGTACTGAATGCTGCACGCGCAACGTTGTCAAGGTAACATTAGGTCAGTCAATCCCTTCGCCGAGGAAGTTTCAGACGCTTATACGAGACAGTAATGCCCTGCACGCTTCAAAGAATACACTTCAAGGGCTCTGCCCTTCGTAGGGAGTAGGGCATGAGTTCGGAATTCGCCGCATGTCTCTTGTATCACCGCAGAGGCACAGACACGCTCTCTCGTTTCATTCAAATGCAGCTTGCGTCTCAGATTTTGATTGTATTGAAAATGAAATCAGAGGAATTTAGTATTAATACTACTATAATTTTGCTGTAGTGATCATATTGTCCTGACGATTGTTTTGTACACTGTTCATAATGGATTTATAAACAGGTAAGATTTCAAAACATTAATCTCAATTCAATTTTTCATATCCCCGTATTTATATATTATTATAGGTAAACAAAAAAAAAATCTGTGTAACAGGTTAAGATAATCAAACACGGTTTTGATGATAATTAAATTTTAAAACGGTAATACTAACCGTCAGGGCATTTTATCGTGATTTATTGTGAAACCGGTAATCGTTACATCCCTACAACAGACATTAGTTAGGGTTTTATTTTTTTTTGAGAAGACATATTTTCATCAATTAAACCGCTGCCACAACAATACAAACAATTGAACAATTAAATGTTTTACCTCTGTCCCTCACAGCCTTGTTTTCATGTCCAATTAATATTTTTTATTGCTGCTAGTGCTAATAGCTTCACATTAGAATAAAAAATTAAATGCCAAGCTAAATGCAAAGTGATATACATTTTCACCTCATGGGCATTGTTTAATTATGTTACTTAGTCGTTCTTATTAGTTAATCAGGCCTTGTGTGGCTTTTTTTTTTTTTAATTAGTACAATGCATTTTGCTTTGTTGTTTATTCCTGTAAATTGTTAATAGTTTAATCAGTTAGCCTTAAAAGCACAAAAATGCACTAAATTGTTTAGTGAAAAATAACTAGCAAGCTAATGTGAAGCTTCATATTAGAAATGATATTAGAGTGAAATTCTGAGGGGAATAATAATCTTTTGCTAGTTCTGTACACATTTATCTAATAGATGCAATATATGTGTATAATTGTGTAAAAAGCGTGACTTAGTCATTCTTTTGACAGCTCTTGTGCTTATGTTTCTTTCAGTCAAAGAAATAAAGCCCGTCATGAAAACTAAAGAGTTTACTTACTGTTAAATATAGGGATTTGAGTGTTTAGTCAGTCTTTAAAGCTTTTCAACCAAAAATTACAAGGCAAAGAAAGAGGGGTGTGTGTTAACATTATTTGTGTTCTTTAACAAGAGCCAATGGCTTTGCCAGGAGAGTGTTTATAGAGATGTTTGGTTCTACTGGGACAGCTGGCCATTTTCAGTAGCGTACACTCATCTCACCCTGAAAGGCTCATTTCATCCTCTGCTAAAAATACCAACATGTGAGGAAATACCTAATTATGTGTCGTACCGATCATCTGCATATATAGAAACGTCAACATTCTGTGGCAGCAGTCAGCCAGACCAGGCACAGTGGGAACGTATTGTGAGCTAATTTTACCCCGAAAAATATGATCTCATGAATGATGAGGCGGTTCACAGGATATGTACAGTTTCCCATTTTAGAATCCGTGTTTCTATTTCCATGGTAACGGTTTTGTTAAGGGTTTTCAGTTGCTATGAATATTGACCTCTGGCAAGAACACTGGTGGGACACTCTTCCACACCCAAATCTTTTCTTCTTCTCATCTTCTTTATCCAGTCATTAAAAATGCATCAATCCGTCATGTTTGGATGTGAGTACTGTAGTTGATTGCTTAGTCACAGATAATGGCTGACTGCTTCTCTCTTGACAAATCATAGCTAATTGTATCATTAAAATCACTCTTCTCAGTAAAAAAATCTTAGTATCATATTTTGTGTTAAAAGTAAAAACATATTTTGAGTATGTTGTGTTGGGCATTTGTATGAAACTAGGCTGAGCAATGTATTAAATATTTCTTAAAAATATATTAAATATTTTGCAACATCATGAATTAAGTGTCATTAAACTAATTTGGCATCCAGTTCAGTTCATTTCTGTGATTCAGTTCAAAATCTCCATTTCAGTGAATGGATTTGGATTCAAATTAGGGAAACTATGCATCAACATAATTGACCATGTCGAATATGTAAATATGTTGATTAGGGATTTAACGATTAGAGGTCGACCGATATATCGGCCGATATTTAGAATTTTTCAAATATCAGCATCAGCCGATACGTTTTTCTGTTTGGCTGATGTGTTCGAGGCAGGACTTTTATTTTGACGGCGCTGAGAACGGCAGTGCCTGAGCGCACACCGCTCACATTCTCCCACTTGTTCGCTGTTGTCGTTCAGTTCTGTTTAATATGGATAGAAGTCTATCTAATAATCAGATAGAACTGTTAAACAGGAATTAAATTGTATACAAAAAAGTATTATAACGATTGCTTTAATATTATTAGTAATATTATTAGTAATTTGCCGTCAGCATTCAGCAAATATGCATTTATATAATTTAAACAAATCTTTGAATGACTAATGAACATTTAATCTCACAAACCTTGCAGACTTAGTCAAATCTAGTTGAGATCTTGTGAAGTGTGCATTTGTATCCTGCACTATCGCGTGTTCTCTGCGTGACATTCGGTCCGTGCGAATTGAATGCTGACAGAAGGAGAGTTCTGCTTGACTGGAGATGCAGGATCGACAAACTTTAAACTAGTGATTTCAAATTATGCAGCACTTTATGCATTTGCCCACTGTCATATTCATGTCATTTTCATTGCGTGCTGTATGTAAAATGAGTGTTACCTTGGCTTTATTTGAAAAAATTAATAAATAATAATTATTCCCAATGCCCACAAACTCAATACTGAGTGCCCCGTTGGTTACAGTGTTAGTGTTTACTTCCTTTTTAATTCGATTTTTATTAAATATTTATTTATTTGTGAAAAATGCTTTGTCTTCTAAAGTATAAGTATGTTTATTTTACACAATTATTTTTAATCCATTTTCAAATGATTTCAAATTTCTTAAATATAAATAAAAATAAATTAAATTATATCGGCCATCGGCCACCCTGCTTTCCAAGATATCGACATCGGCTGTCAAAAAACCACGTCGGTCAACCACTAGTAACGATTCACTCAACTCACGATTTGATTCGATTCACGATTTTGATTGCACGATTAGATTTTCTCACAATTTTTTTTAACAAAATGAGATTGAAGACATTATACAGTAAATGAAAAGGTGTCGTTTTATTAGGCTATTGCTGCACATTTCTTTGTGAAATTGAAATATAACAAAACTAAATTGAAATCTTTAAAACAAACCCCAAAAAGTTACACAAATAAAATAAATATCTTAATATGAACTAACTAAGGCTTTGCCTGTGCTCTTTACATTTAAAATTAGAGGCAACCACTGGATTTTGATCATGATCCAAACATACATGCAGCATGAGTAGTTTTTAATCTAAATTAGACTGTATAATTTCAAAATTTGAAGCAAAAACAGAATGGTCTGACTTTAGTTTTGTGAAGCTATACTACATAAAACATATCTGAACGAAACAGCAGACGAGCTGAATGAGACACAGATTCACTCTCTTACTGTGCGTTCACACCGCCGGCGGCGAGAGCGTCAAAGTGATACCACGTAAACTTTTCTAAAGATAGTCAGTTCCCCTCAGAGATGCATTCATATAAACTCCTACTCCAATTGTATCGCGATTTGTTTGGCTTCTCAACCTATTTGAATCGATAACATATTTGAATCGATGTTCGACCGGCTCGCGGTTAATCGTTACTTCCCTAATGTTGATTTGTATTGACGCGTCACAGTGTTGCATTGGGTTGCATTAGTATACCAGTTTACTAATGGATTATAACAGGATTATCATTCCATCTGTATTTGCTTTTCTACAGTATTGGAAAAAAAATTATATTTGCAAATAATTGTTTGATTAATCAACTAATCAAAAAAATAATTGTTAGTAACAGCCCTAATTCAATTAATTTGGGTTCAGACTATTTGGATTCAAATGATTCATATTCAGATGATTCAGAATATTCAGATTCAAATGTTTCAGATTCAGAATCAAACAATTCTAATTCAAGGATCCTTTTGCATCATCAAAAATGTTCACCCTTAGTGATATTTTTCATGTTTGGTACATTTATGGTTAATTTTATAGTTAAATAAAATTAATATAGTTGGATTTCCAGATTGAGTTACATCACCCTTTTAAGCCTTTTCAGAGCAACTGATTAAATATAGCTATATCATCAAAAGGCCGAAAAATATTTACATGCAATAATTTTAGCTGTATTGCTGAAGGTGAGTGGTGTACGTGTGTCTTTTTGTTTTCAAGCACGTCTGTCTGTCTCTAGGTTTCGCCATGCAGTTCTGACATGCTAGAGCTGGCATGAGGGTCTGTTTAAAGCCTGTGCACGGGGCGTTTTGTCCCATGCTCATATAGAACGGTCTGGCCTCTGTTGTTTCCGGCTCCACCTCATACGATACAGGATGACAGGGATGACTGCTGTACCAAAGCCATCCTTTCACAGATCGCTCTGCGTGTGTTCATTTCTCTCCTCTGTGTTTGGTGGGAAATAAACAGTGCGGCCATGCTTGATTTCCTCTGTCTACCTCTGATCCTCAGGCGAACCTGGACGCGGCTCGCTCTTCAGGAGGGTGTCGGGGAGGAGAGGAAAAAGATTTGTCTAAGACGCTTAGCGCCGTTTCCAGCAAGACGAGGGCAGCGTTGTGTTGGCTCCTTACCAGATTGATTATTTCAACTCTCTGTAGCCCTAAAACGACGACTGTGGGGGGAAAACCGGCATGTGTTTTGCATGGATGGATGAAAATATTTCGAACAGCTGGTCGGGTCACCACACTCAGCTCGCTCTCTACACTCAGAAAATGGCCAAATAAAGGGGAATCTATGGAGAATAAAAAGTGCATATGTCAAAACAGGAAAACGTTAGTGCAGGACTTTAAAGTCAACATGAAGTAGAATAGACTAGGGCTGTCAATTTTTTTTGAATATTCGTCGAATTTAAAATAAAAATCCACATTTTAGGTGTGCGTTAAGGAGGAAGCCTTATCAGTGGCACACAAGATGCGATAATGATGTAAGTGCCATTGCATTTGAATGTTTTTGTTAACCTATCTAGTTGAAGCCACTAGATGTGGCGCTGCTGCATTGTTAGTTACAAATATTGTGGGAAAAGAGAACATCAATGCGGAGAAGATCTTGTTTACGTCAAAACTGAAACCAAGCCGTTCACAAAGAACACATATTTCGTGCATTTTCTAGAGGGACATCTATTACCGTTACAGTCGCGTCTCGCACAAAAGAGCTGCATGTTTACCATGTAAAATTAATGCAAGTTCAACATATCTCGAGACTTTATGGCGGGTGTTTTCCCCATCCCACTGCAACTCGTGTTTTTAAATTAAACATTATTTTAAACATTATGCACTTTTTTCACAGATAGTCATGTTATCTTATGCTTTGAATAAACATGCATTAATAATATTTTGCTCGATGCGCCCTCTTGTGGCCTCAAGAGAGAAGCCAAAAGCTTTTCTTCACCCTGTAATTATACATTTTAAATTCAAATATAATTCGAATTTTGATAATATTTAAGTTAAAAATTTAGTTTTTCAGCCATTTTGACAGCCCTAGAATAGACCCTATTGCTTTCTTAATGCACATTTTTGCTCTTATTGTGCACAATTCAGTGTTCCATATTAGCATAGATTCTGATGTCTGAGGTACAATTCAATTATTTTGTTTTCTGCTCCAAAAGTACAATATATTTTCAAAATAATGTATTATTTTTAAAATGAAACATTAACATGATAGACTAGTGTTTCCAGTGTCGATTAGCAGCAGCAGAATCATTTAGTTGACTAGTCTTGCACATCCCTAATATATATTTTTGTTTTTTAATTACTTTAAAAAAAAAAATATATATTTATTTGTAACTGTATTTACATTCCGCAATATAAACAAAATAGCAAAATCTAGACACTTTATGTTGTCGCCATGATGCCTTTTATGTTTCACAGAAGAAAGAAAGTCATACATGTTTGGAATGACATGGGTGAGTAAAAAGATGACAAAATGACAGCCATTTTTGGGTGAACTATACCTTTAAAGGGGTCCTGTTATGCTCTTTTAAAAAGTCTTGATTTTGTTTTGGGGGTGTACTAGAACATGCTCTCATGCTTGGTGGTTCGAAAAATGCATTATTTTTCACATCATTTACATTATTAAAATACCTTTCTCCCCAGCCTGGCACAAACGGCTCGATTAGTTCCGGCTTTGATGAAGGTCCGCCTTCTGAAAAACAAAATGTGTTGTGATTGGTTAGCTGTCCCAGTGCGTTGTGATTGGCGAACAGCTTAGACGGTGTTTCATTACTGCCACGCCCCTTGCTCCGTCTTTCAACAAAAACTTTTGGGCGAATCCGGCACTGTACTCCCTCGTGTTGTGGAAGCTGTCCTCAGTAAAATGTGCAGCACACAATAGCAAATTAGGGTTATAATGCTCAGGAGCAGAGTTAAAAAATAAATTGCAGCCACTTTTTCTTGACATCATCCGCTTTTGGAAGCCCAAACAAAGACGTTTGGGCACGGAAGAGAAAAAAAACAGCATTTCAGGTGGTCGCACACCGGACGAGAAGCACAGCGTCGCGTCATGCCACGTCTTTAAAATTCAAATACTTTATTTTCTATGAGTGTAGGCACACCGGCGGCGCCCAGCTACGTCGACTTGTAAGAATTGTTCTAGACATTCCGAAAATTTGACGCTACATCACAGCAGCTCTTCTTCTTCCTTTTCTCTGATGCACTAACTCTGCAGCAGCACTTCTTCTTCGTCGTCGTCTTGTCTGATGCACTCACTCAACCAAGCATTCTAACCACAACCTCGCCCCTCCCCACCCCCCCAACCATTCGAATTTCTGTAGGCGAGAATTATTTGTAATGATATTCCAATGAGCCGCTTTGTGATATCACAAAGCCCGGAAAACAAACGCTGTAGTCCAAACGAGCCGTTCGTTGTAGTTCTTGAAAAGGGATTTTAAAAAAACAAAATATCTCCCTTTGGAGTGGACTTTGAGATTTGTAACTTTCTAGATCTTTTTTATGCCCAAACATACACACTGACTAAAATTAAAAAAGTGAAAAAGCATAATAGGACCCCTTTAACATAATTAAACATGCAATTTATGGGCTTGAAAAGTGGACATGTGGTTGTAGCTCTTATCTAAGAATTTTTTAACGCTTTAAAAAAAAAAAACCTCATGACCCAGAGTTATACACCTAATACACTGCTTTATGTTGGTCACAACTGACCAACAGATTAAAGTGATCCAACTTATAGATTTTTTAAATTTTTTTACAGGATTGCAGGAGCATATGTACATGCATAATACACGCATGCACATATGTTACATAAAGAATCCTAGTCCCAGTTTTATGGAGAAAGGCTTTTTTTGCATGAGATCTTGTGTCGTTTATGCTCAGGAAGTGTTATTTACATCTAGTCCAACAAGCATGTATTGCAAAGCGGATACGGCATTTTAAAAAGCTATTATATCGAGCTTCAAAGACAAACTGCCACGACGAGGACGGTCCTACAGCACTCATAGAGCCTACACCTGTGGTGCTGCAGCCATCCATGAGTATTCCCACAGGAGTAAGGTACTTTGTCTGTTGCTATGGCAACCATTGCCCTGATTATTTTGTTCTCAGGCCCACACATTTGAGCCGCACTGGTTCCTAAGCGCACATTCAAATCCCATAATTCAGATGGCGATGGGCTCAAAGAGGGTTATAAAAAGATCTACTGGGTATTGTGGCTGTGTGATCAATTACATCACTTCCTCTGTGACTGGAAGAGAGCTGCGCTTTCAACCCTACAGGAGAGAGATGTGACAGAATAACGGCCTGGCTCATGTTCTGCACACTTTTATGACTTGTGCTTTTGTTTGGTGTTTACAGTAGTGACAGGGATCAAATAACCTGGACTATATATTACAGTAGACAGCCACAATAGATGTCTCTAAAAAGCACGCTTGAGATATTTTAAAGGGGTCATATGATGCGATTTAAATTTTTCCTTTCTCTTTGGAGTGTTACAAGCTTTTGGTGCATAAAGAAGATCTGTAAAGTTGCAAAGGCTAAAGTCTCAAATCCAAAGAGATATTCTTTATAAAAGTTAAGAGTCAACCACGCCTACCTAAAACGGCTCGTTCTAACACGCCCCCACATGTCTATGTCATGATGTGGGAAGATTTGCATAACGCCGCCCAAATGTTCACGCAAAGAAAGAAGGCATAACTTTTATTCTCGCTGTAGTATTGTTGCTGCCGCTGTGTCATGAAGGCGCTGTGTGTTTCGTTGTGAAAGCGATACTACTTTGTTGGCCTTCCAAAAGAGGACACGACTAGAAATCAGTGGTTAAGTTGTATTTACAACACTGTTCCAGAACAGTTCGTCTCCAGTTCCCAGATGTGTGCAGTACATTTTATGGAGTATTGTTTCCTGATCCTGGGAGAGTAGACTACAACAACGCACTGGATAGCTAGCCAATCAGAGCACACCTCGCTTTTCAGACCGATGAGCTTTGTAAAAATCGACGCGTTTCAGAAAGGCAGGACATAGAGGAGAAACAATAATGTACAATATGTGGAAAATAATGTTTTTTTTTTTTACTTTAAACCACATAAACACATTTCATTACACCAAATACACAAAATAATGTTATTTTTAGCAACATCATATGACCCCTTTAAGGACAGCTGTCTGCAATTAGGCCTCAAAATAAATAAATAGATAATATATAGTTATCAATTTATAGAATTTTTGCTATATTCTGCCCTGTCTCTTTATGTAAAACTGCTTTTTTTTATTCAGTCATACTGTGTGACACTAAAAATAGGAATAGACATTTTCAGCATGAATAAGCATAAAATAAGTTGAAGTTTTTACTTTTGTGGATTTTAGCATATTAGAGTCTAACTGCTGGAAACAATATGTCAAAATACATTAACACCTTGAAATGCCCTGCTGTGTGAAAGCAGAATTCTGTGCTGTGACTATGCTAAACTCCTCCAAAATTATTTTAAACCAATTTTCATCACCTCAGTGTAATTGCAATACTATATAGAATATTTGAATTTATTTGTAATAACCTTCATGTTGAAATGAAAAGTTCATGTCCAAGTCAAGTACACATTAATGTATTTAAATGTGTTTAATGATTTATCTTGTCTCAAAAATGATTTTTCTTTCTCCAGTAGAAACATTTAAACCAAAAAGCTTTTGTATTAAAAAAAACAAACAAAACAAAAACTTAGTAAACAATAAAAGGCATATTTTTCACTAAATGAACAAGATTTCTATTTAATTTATTATATTTATTTACTTTTAATTAAAGTTTTTATATTTTAAATAATTTACTTACTTTTAAAAAATGTATATGTAATAATAAACTTCAATATTAACCAACACAAATGTTTACTAAAATGTCCTTGACATTTTTGAGTGAAAAAATCGCTTAATCTTTGCTGATCTCTGCTAAACTGATTCATTGAAAGTTTTTCATATTTATCTAACACACATACTTAATTTCCTTTCAAATGTGCACATATCATACCTGTACATAAATAATTGTCTATATTATATATTGTGTTTTTGCTTTTTTGTACATTGTCTATTTTGTCTATTTTTTATATTATTCTTTTTATTATCTGTGTCCTGTCTTGTCACAGTCATTCTGTTGCACAGTGGAGCTTCTGTCACTAAAACAAATTCCTCGTATGTGTAAACAAACCTGGCAATAAAGCTCATTCTGATTCTGATTCTGAAAGTTTGAAGGGACTGATTTACGGAAATTAATAAAACTTCCCGTCTCTAGAGGGGGATGCTATTAAAACTTCCCTGCTTTAACAATTTCATACTTGTGGATTGTGACACAATTAGGGGGTGTGAAATTAGCCTACTTACCGGCAAGAAACATAGCAACTTGGTGCCCTAACTGCAACATACTGTAGCTTTTTGTTTTAGTTACTTATGTTGCTTCTCACTATATAGTGAACCTGACCTAAATTTGAGGTATCAGCAGATCTTAAAGCCTGTGATCCAGACCTCCTGTGCAAATGCAGACACAACTGTTAAAAGATTGATATCACTGTAGATGAAATGGCCTGGAGTACCATCCTCTGTGCTGAAGCACACATGCATTCATGCATTGTAGTTTCTCAGCTGCTGATAGAACAGTGCCTGTATTGCTTTATTTCAGCACTACACCTCTGATCCTGTTTTTGAGGTGCCATCCAGCATGTTGAAGCTGCATTTCACCTGTATTTCAACATGTGCGACCACCGCCCATCCTGCCCCAGTTCCCCTAAGATTCCCTGGACCGTGCAGGCGACAAAGTGACATTTTGGGATCACAGGGTCCACAGCCTGAGAAATGTGCCATGATTAAATAATCTAACAGGTCAAAATTTTCAACCACTGAATTATAGATGAGTGGCTGTCAGTGGGGAGACTTGTGGTGTCTGTATAAGAGCAGTGCTGTATTCGAGGCTACAGGTTCAGAGCACAAACCAGTGGATCTTGGCACAGGTTATCAGATGTTGCCAGGGAAAAAGGAAGAAAAACCTTCTGGGAGTTTTTATTATGGCCATTTTGAGGTAGTAAACAACACAGAACTGCACTGAGAGGCCTGGACTTCACATCTGAGTGCTTTTGTCCTGATATCATGATATCTTCATCACACCCTCTTACACTCGCTCCTTTTTTTCTGGCAGAGTTTGCTGCTGAGGAGAGGTGTGTGCCGCAAAGCCGGACTCTGTCTGCTGTATTAATTGGTTCCATTAGTCTTGGCTGTCTCACAGTAGTTAGGAACACCTGTGAGTTACTGGTTGAAGTAATAACAACAGACTGTAAAGCATACGTAGAGATGGACTAATTTAAAGGGATAGTTCACCCAAAAATGAAAATTACCCCATGATTTACTCACCCTCAAGTAGGGCTGCAATTACCTACTATTCCACATTCTGCCCAATGTCCTTCAAACAAACGTGCCAACTGAAAGCTATGAAAACATACAGTGCTTAACAATTTATTAGACCACCTGCCATAATAAAGACAAAAACACATTCACACATTTAGGAATTTTAGGAATCTGTCAAAAAAATTGTTCAAATCAAAAAATGTCATTGTCATTTATTGGGCAAATAAACTTAAACAATTAAATAGTATTTATTCACATAAAAAAGGCCTCCTATGCTCACATGCATAACAGCTTGCATTCTTGATGGCATTGTTTATGTACTTTTTGACTGTAATTGTGTATCTGAAAATAAACACTATAAAGCTCTCTGCCTTTCTTTCATAGATTACAGCAATGATTATCTTATAGCATTAGAAATAGCCTACTACTGTTACTAAAGAGCTTACACATATTGGAGGACTAACCAATACAAAAAGCTAAAAAAATATTTTGGTAGTCACCAGTACTGTTAGAGCAGCAGTGGCACAAACCATAATTTGTTAAAAACCTTACATACATTTGTTTTAATACATTTAAGCATTGTATATCGTTATATACTGTAGGTATATAGTTTAAATATCTGCATTAAAAATTAGAATAATAAAGATGATAAAGAAGAATAAAATCACAAACTCAGTTGTAACCAATAGGTAAGAGTAATGTTCTGCAGGAACACATTCACTTTGATCACAGTCACGTCTTCCTGTCATTTCTTTATCCTGTAAAAGGTCGGTTATGAAGTGTCTGATATTTATATTCGGGCAATTACACGCTGTTATCCCCTTACAGTTCCTACTCTCATAAAATACTCGCAATGCATGTTTTTGCGCTGATTTTTAATTGTCTCTCTTTTCCGTCTGTCTGACGAGCCCGCCGCTCATTCAGTAAAGATTAAAACTTAACACAGACTGTCAGGATGGGCCTTTATGCAAAAATGGAAATGCTCGTGAGAATTTGTGACATTTATGCATAAGGATATGACCGTAAACTGAAAGTTTTTGTGCTGAGTTCGCACGCATCATCTGCCAAAGCGCAAATAAAGAGTTCTCATGTTTTGGGCAGCTTGGATCACGTACCTCTCCCGCAGCATCTCATTCTATTTCCTCCACTATTTTTAAATGTATTTTGTCCATAAAAAATGTGTAATTCAGTGCTGTAATTTGACGCGACCGGCTGAAGTTGGACGTGCACTGTGGGCAGACCCGACTAATCGATAATGAGAATCGTTGTCAATGATTTTCATAATCGATTTTATCGATTAGTTGTTGCAGCCCTACCCTCAAGCCATCCTAGGTGTATATGACTTTCTTCTTTCAGACGAATACAATCAGAGTTATATAAAAAAAATGTCCTGGCTCTTCCAAGCTTTATAATGGCAGTGAATGGGTGTTGACATTTTGAAGCAAAATAAAGCACATCCATCCATCATAGAAAGTACTCCACACTGCTCTGGGGGGTTAATAAAGGCCTTCTGAAGAGATGCGTTTGTGTAAGAAAAATATCCATATTTAAAACTTTATAAACCATAATCTCTAGCTTCCGTCGTATGTGCCTTCACAAGAGAGTGGAGTTTCAGTGGGTGACATAGGCCGTCAAATCATAGGGTAATTTACATTTTTTGGCGAACTATCCCATTTAAAGACTTGTTTTTTAAAAATATATTTTCTGTTCAACAGATGAAAGAAATGCACAGATTATATAAAGAATTGTTGTATTATGTAGTCCAGGGGTGCCTAAACTCGGTCCTGGAGGGCCGGTGTCCAGAAGAGTTTAGCTCCAACCCCAATTAAACACACCTGAACCAGCTAATCAAGCTCTTTCTAGGCATACTAGAAACTTAAAGGTAGGTGTGTTGAGGCAAGTTGGAGCTAAACTCTGCAGGACAATGGCCCTCCAGGACCGAGTTTGGGCACCCCTGATGTTGTCCAATATAATGGATACAGGCTTTATTAAAATAAAAATAATTATTGCTATTGGCCAACATTTCCATATTAGACATGGAAAAAAATAATGTGTTCAGTAAACCCTTTCCCGGGTTTTTTAAAGATGACACTAGCATGCAAAACACAGCATATGCTGGTGTCTAGCTTCACTGGTCTTTTCAGCAGGTATGGCTCTGATCATCATGGCACAGGGTTTGCCTTTGTGTGCTCATGTTTTTGACATGCAGCATCCATGTCCATCACGTCACGGAGGGTGAGGCGATTAATATTCCACGTGCTGTGCAGTTGTCGATTTCAGACGGTTGATGCAGCTCAGACTCCGTCAGCCTACTTCAGAGGGAGTTAGGTAATTCTCTGATTCACCATGGATACTGTGACCCTCAGAGAGCAGAGCATTTTCATATTCACTGTGTTTTCACGTCGAGCGTTTGCTATTTGTGTGTTTGAGCCTCTCAGAGGATCAGCGGGGCCTGCAGGCTTGAGCTAAAGCCTGTCAAGGTCACCCTGTATCCGTGCGACGGCTGAGACTGTCCTCCTCGCTGCAGTCAGTAAGTGAATTGAAGAGCAATCCTCTTGATTTACTGAAGCTGTTTACACCTATTGATTGACAGCTGTCAGCGGCGTGTTCATTCGCACAATGTAATTAGGGGCTGAAAAGACTCTGTTAGCTTAATTAGCTAGCTCTGATATGACAAGACAATTTTAATTTTGGTATCAGTCTATATTGAATATTTAATTATGTGTAATAGGTAATTACTCATTTCTCTTATTTTTCATTTAGATTACCTTTGCCAGCATCTAATGCTCACTTAATGTTTAAAACCATTCATATTTTTTCAACATATGCTATTTTAGAATACATTAATAATTTAATAACACTGTTAAATTTAATCTTGCGTAAATCTTAAAATGAATATCTTTCATACTGTACATTATAAATGTTTTGATACCTAAATTCCTAAACTTGTCACATTTACATTATTGATTTTAATTTGTAGTGTTTTTGTTTGATTTATTTAGGCAAAATAGTATATAATAATTTTACTATAGGTAATTTATTGTTTATAGGTCATAACGTGAGAATAATTAT